GCAGAAGACGGCGAGGAGAGGTAGTCGATGCACGGTCGCAGTAGTCGTGAAGGGCTCACCAAGTTGTGGTGGTGGTGGTGGTGGTGGTGGTGGTGGGGGTAACATTGTCAATGTCAACGAGGTAAACTTGATGAGGGGCAACAGCGAGGGGCAGCAGCGATGGGCAGCAGCGAGAGGACAAGTATGACAGGGATCTGTTAGATGCTTGGAGCTGCTGTTACGGAAGGAAACCCCTGTCTTCTTTGTCTCCTGCCCTTCGAAACAGGTCTTGGTACCTGCCAACTCTACTGACAAAGAGGGGTTTCGAGCGTTATGAGGCTGAACGCTGCTGCTGTTGTTGCTGTTGGGTTTTCTCGATCCCGTAGGTGCTGCTCACATGCAATCCCCGGCGCTTGTTCATCCTGTGTTGGACAACCATGGAGCATCAATTCATTGATCTTCATAGTACTGGGCAGCTCGGTCCAATACACACTGGACCTATACTTGGCTGACGCAGACTTATCGTGCCCTTTTCGGGGCTACTCAAACAACACTGAAGGTAGCAAGGAAGAAGCTCAGCAGCAATGCCATGCTCGGCATGCTCTTGGGGGACGCTACCATGACAGGTTTCTGGTAGCAGTCCCATATCCCAAGGCGCCAAGCTTGGTGGGCGATTGCAGTGCTGTCAGGGAGAGGGTCATGGGGGGGGCAGGACGCTCAGAGGGTGAAAGTAATTATGTTGCACCTAGCCGGCTGTAGGTGCTGTACCTGGATGCACCTGCCTGCCTGGATGCTACATCGGAGGAGGTGGCGGATCCGCGCACAAACGCCACCTCCCCCCTTAGCTAAGGTAAGCGTTGGAAGGCGGGACTGTGGCTTGCTCGTGCCTATTTTTGGCCGTGATCTACCTCGCTAACGTTGGAGGGGCCTGCGACTGCCTCGACCTACGGCAGGGATCCATCCATCCATCCACTTATTTTCCCTCGCTGGTGACGATGTAAAGCAGTACCAGCAGTACCAGCATCACCAGCAGCTCCCGTGGTCCCCTTGACCATCTTCAGACCGACTATCCACCAAGCTGATTGTTTCCGTTTTAGTCGATCCAAACGCTTATCTATTGACTGTGTACAATTTTTTTCTTTCCTCACACCAAAAAGAAATCAGCATGAGCACGATGTCACGGCGCACCTGGAAATGGTGTCATTCAGATGTGGCGCCATTCTCGCTGTTCTGAGCCCTTGCTCTGGCTCGCCATGATCATCAAAAAAATCACGAATCTGCAAACTCCCTATGGTTCCTCATCTAAATGCCAGACGTCATGGGTCGTGGAGGACAAACTTGGATTCCTTCCTTCTCGCCTCGGCCCAAGCCTCAGCCATATCGTTCACGCGACCATCTCCTCAAGTGGCTCTACCTCGAATAGCTTGATCGGGACCGAACGCAGGTCTCGTCACCGACATGAATCTTTGTCTGCACGCTAGTCCGCCGATACACATGATAGTTGCGCTTCTATTTCGGGGCTCCTCTTGATAAAATCCTTCCACAGATTACTCCAGAAGCAATCTGATCCTTCGCCTCCTGCTTCGGGAGCCCATCTTCTTCACTCGCGACGCCGAAGCAGTGGCAGCATCCGTGGCAACATGGCTGGACTGGGAATTGGCTTCCCTTTTGGGAGCCAATTGTCGACGTCTTGGCATCCGTCTGTCGCGAGTAAGTTCACATGCCGCCGGTCGTCCCGACGGTTCAGATGGCGCGCCTGCCGGAACTACACAGACCCCTTGGTTTGCCGGACCCCCTCGATGCCATCCCTCTCCCAGAACTTGTCCTGGGCATGCCTACCCCTGAGGCATCCCCCCACATCGAATGGGTCGATGACTGTCAGCAGCCACACCCTGTCGTCTTTCCATCCTGGACCCTCGACCTCGGTGACGCCGTCCCGTGCCAGATACACGTTGCACTTGGCCGGCAGGTACCTCCTCGGATGCCTCCAGTTCCACATGAACGTGTTCCCCAGCATCAGGGACGCCTCGAAGACGTAGAAGAACCACTCGTACCGAATGACGGCCGGCACGTCCGCCGGATCCAGCCCTTCCCACTGGATCCCCTCGAATCCAAAGTGTTCGACGAGCCGGAACACAGTCCGCGCCGTGATGAGCCCGACGCTGACGTACAGCGTCCGCAGCGGACTCTTGATCTGCCGCGCGCCGCCGAGGCCCGCGGCAACGCACCGGCGGTGAAACACGACGGCCAGGGTGAGGAAGAGGCCGGCCACGACGAGCTGCAGCACGAGCGACGTCTTCATGAGTGCGTGGCCCGTCGCCTGCGAGGCGCCGGGGAGGTCAACATTGGCCGTGTAGCTCGCGCCCCAGCCGTTGAGCATCTCTATGAGCCCCGAGAGGAACGCAAACGTCGAGAGCACGCGGCCTGGGTGGAGCGGGGAGTGGTACGGCACGTAATACAAGATGCGCCCGAGGATGTGGTAGTTTGCTAGTTCGAGGAGGGGCCTGCCCAATCAGTATCGCTCACAAGGAGAAAGAGCGAAAGAGTTCAACATGATTTTTTTGACGTACGGGCTGGCGTAGACGAGACATATGCTCGCGATAAAAGGGGCAAGGTTGTCATAGTGCCAGGCTCCGTAGATGCGCAGAGCGAAGCCGGCGACGAAGAGGAGGTTGCAGAAGACGAAGAGGCCCGTCACCTTGAAGAACTTGTAGTGACTGGCAGGTCAGATGAGAAGATACTCGTTCCGGCGGCGCAGTAACTTACTAGCATTGCCACAAATGCAGCATGCATGAAGTTGCAAAGGCAATCGTGAAGAAAATGGCGGCCCCCTTGTTGGGGGCGAAGAAGTAGTAGCTCCCCTCGACTGGCTGTGTCAGTTCTGCAAGGCGTGGGTTTGACTTTATCTCATGACGACACGTACCGTAGCGGCCGTCACTCATTGTCGCAATATGGTTGGGATCAGATGCTGGTAGTCGTGTTGGCCAACGTATTTCGATCTATAGAGGCCTCGTACGAAACCATGTGGTGATGCGTAGGTTGTATAGCAGATCATCGAATAAACAACTCAATTAGAATACAGTCCCCATCCTCATTTTCCCATCTTCATCGTCCTACTTATATCCCAAACCTTTGATCCGTCGCTTTGGTCGTGTCGTGACTTTGAACCTCACCACCCACCTGACCAATCGCATCCCTCGTACAATACGACAGTCTCAGACCAGGCGTGGCAAGCCACCACCAAGTGGGCATCACAGCGAATCCCTAGCCTCGACGCTGCCACACTCGTTTGCCTGTTTGGGAAACTGCAACAACCTGTGCCCTCGTGAGTCCCGCGATCATGGTAAGTGGGCTATCGTGCGCCGAGCAAGGGTGCCGGGGGACTCGTCCAGCGGCACGCCCGACTATCGTGCTCGACACGTCATGCCTCGTGACATGCTCATATCGGAGATCGGCACGACAGATTGGTGACCGTTTGTTTCGCCATACACATCCCCACGAGGCACTTTGGCATATCATCCTTCATTTTTGGGGGCTTTTGATGCGTGCCTGTCATCAAAGGCCGTGTGTGCCTTGCAATCATTGATGTGTCCTCGCACCTGCCCAGTATTAACGTACAGTAAAACTCCCCCTTCTGATATCCTGGTGTGTTGTTCATATGATTCAACTTCGACGCCAGTTCGAAAAGAGAAACTCTCAATCAAAGTTCGAGATCCGGTCGTTGTGTTCGCCCCAAAAATCCAATCCGACATGCCTAACGCCGGCATCCTATGAACACGGGGGGTTCGCCAATAATAAACAAGTGATGTACAAAAAAAGCAGAGATTGTGCCAGCGTCGGAATCTACCAGCAAGCCTCAGTCGACCTCCCAGCCGCGAGCCGTTCGGTCTCGAGCTTCCCGCTGGTCAGCTACGCTCGGGGCCCGTGAGCCCTCTGTCTGGCTCATGTAGAAGTCATCGTCGTCACCCCAGTCGCTGAGTTCGCCGTCCGAGTAGTCCCACTGCACGGGGATCGTCTCCCCGGACTCTCCATAACCAAACATCATGCCACGCCATTCGCCGGCCGCGATCCGTGCCGCCACCCGCAGCATCAGGTTCATAAGATGGCTAGGCGGGCTCAGCAGGATCTCACATGTCTTGGCGACTATCGCCATGGGTACCCGTCGAACGATATCGAGCCGGCTGCGTGTGGGCAGCCGCCTCATTGAAGTTGCCGTCGGGGAGAACAGGTTGGCAGCTGGCGGAAGGGGTGAGAGCGCTCGGCTGACCGAAATGCTGCTTGCCGTCGCCCGGTGGCGAATACTGGGTCTACGGCGTGCCACTGCGGTCGACTTTGCTTCGCTATCCGCGGATGAGTCCTTGCCAGCCTGCTCAGCCATCTCGGATGTCATGTCTGGGGCAGTCGCTGCGCTCTCTTGAGAGCTCTCGTTGGTCCCAAAAGACGCTGCATCCCATGTTCTCTTGGTGTCTGGCGTCACAGTCAAGTCCGAGATATCGCGATACTGAGACATCCTCATGGGCATTAAGATGTTGTCGTGCGGGTACGGAAACGTTGAGGGTGTCTTCGGCTGCGATCCGGGAGAGGAGAGGGGAGATTGCCATGATTGTACGCTATGGAAAGAGTCAGACGACCCAGCTGGTGAGATCTGACCCTTTGCGTCCTCGGGCAGCCGAGTAGGAGATTGCTTCGAAGCGGCAGACTTGGAAGGGGGCGATGTGATGAGCGTGAGTTGTGGTGGAACGGCAAGAGAGCGACCTGCGCGGAACCCGCGCAACTTCTTCCGCCGAGCACCTACGACACCACTCCCCTCCAGCACCTCTGCACTAGTTGGCTCCGTCCCGACTGTCTCTGTTCCGCTTTCTCCACTGGCCGTAGATTTAATGTCGTCATCAGCGGCTGTTGGGAGTTGAACATCTTCCTCGACAACGCTGGGCTCGACGTCTGCGTTTTTTGGGGCTTCTGCCGCCGCCTTCTGCTCGTATGCACGAAGGAAGTCGTGAATGTCAGGTCGAGCGGTTGTATTTGTCTGCCGCGGCGTCAACTCGACGGCCGTTTCAGGTGTTGACAATTCGGGAGGAACACTGAACGTCTCTTCTCTCCGAATAGCTGTCAGCGGCGGCAGCTCTTCACATACTTCCTCCGCTCCTTGCACAGGCAATAGAGTCGGTGGGTTATTGCTCTGTGGTGTAGAGATGTCGCGAACCTCGCTCAAGGGTTGAGCCTGCATTGGTGCGGGGGGAACGCCTGTTTCCGGCGGAATCTCCTGGTTCAGCTCGGCCTCCGTTGCTTCTGTCCTGACTCGGGCACCATCGTTCACGTCGTTTGTTGTTGCTAAAATGACTACGTCCGGCTCGCATGCAGGCGTTCCAGGTAGGATCTCGAGAGTGTTGTGGTCCGATTCAGGTTGTTCAACAACAGATATTTCATCTGTGACGGGTATCACGTCTTTTTCTCTATTCTCCGTCTCATCCGCGGTGTTTCGGCCGCTTGCGTCGTTTGGTTGCTTCGCATCCTGGGTGATATCCTCTGTCTGCGTAGACATGCCATCTTCGGGGACAGAGCTGACAGGGGGTACTCCTCGGGCATCTGGCACTTGGACTTCTGGTGTTTGGGTCTCTGGTGCTTGGGTCTCTGGTGCTTGGGTCTCTGGTGCTTGGGTCTCTGGCGTTTGGGTCTCTGGTGCTTGGGTCTCCGGTGCTTGAACATTCGTGCGCTGCACAACAGTGTCTGAGACAACTTCGCTTCGAGATGTGGAATCTTCGTCCGCTGTGAAAGCGGCTTTCATGCTGGCTTTCAGTTGCCGTGCGGCAGGCGACTCGCTCTTGCGCCTCGTAGTCCTAGCTGGGGGCGTTGTCGTCGCCTCGACGATGGTCATGGCGGTGGGTGTGATGGATCTGCGGACCGGAGTCCAGGGCCGCTTCTTGATGGGCGTTTTCGGCTTCTCAGGGAGCGCTATGGTGAACGATCGCTTGAACGGGCACGCTGTCTTTTCGAACTGTAAGATCTGATCGAAAACGCCTCGTAACGCGTGGGCCAACTCCTTCTCTTCAGGATCCGACACCGGAACCTCTATCCTCCAGTATTGCGGTCGACGGATTTGAAGAACGAACTTGTTGGACACTTCGTCGATGCACCAACATTGGCTCTTCGGTAGAATCGGTTGCAGCGCTGAACCGCAATTCAGAAATGCCACGGAGCCGGGTGCTCGGTAGATCCGAAATGGGCCTGGAAGATAATCAGTATATTGAAAGGGTCATCCCAAAGTCTGACCCGACTGACCGACTGCAATGGTACGCTCAAGCTGCGATGATGATGCCAACGAGCCGGGCTCCTCGTCGGGTGGCGCACGGCCAGGACTCCTCGCCCTGTTTCGCCCCGAGGCTGTAAAGGCGATGATCTTGACATTGGGATGGTTGTAGAGGGTTTCGACAAGACCCGGGGCCGATTGAGACGATGAAGAAGGGCTGCAGACAGAACCCTGGGGTGCTGTCATAACCCGCCGGGGCGCTGGAAAGGTTGATCGCGAGGGATCCATGACAATGTCGGTCATCCACGGGAGCGATTCGCCAAGGGAGGGGCGTACTGATGCTGTTGTCAAAATGCGGTCGTGAACTTGATCATGTCGGTCGTGTGCTTGCAGACATGGCAAATCTGCGGTGTCATGGGATAGACGGAAGTGACACTTTCTGGCGCAGTCGTAGTTCGCTGTCTCCCCCCTCTTGTCTTGTTCGTCCCACCTTTCAGTGTTTCGACGATGGCGTTCCAGGGGTGAGTCTGAGGAATTCAGTGACCACCTAGCTGTCGCTGAGGCGATTAATTGCCACTCTGTTTCCAGCGGGCGTGTCTCACTGACGGGCACAGAGACGGGAAACGTCCAATGGCGCCACGAGAGGTTGATGGATATGGTGAAATTGGAAGATTTCCAATGGGGAAGAGGCACTGGGAGAAGCAAGTCTGGGGCTGGGAGTTGGACCCTCGGGCAAGAGGGAGCTTGGACACGCGACGGGGGGTTCGCGCTTCTGGTGAAGACGGGTGCGGGTCGATGCCTGCCAGGGATGGATGCGTCTCCCTGTTGAGCGCTCTTGCGGAGCATCCCGAGTGGTAGCCGTTCTTCTGTTTATATGCATAAGAGTGTATGCGCATAAAGTCCATAGGTCCCCAAGGATTTAAGGAATTGATCATGGTCTGTCTGCCTTGTTAAAGTCTTCCGAGTCCCAAGAGCGCTTTCCCTTCTTTCAGACTGGCCACGTCAGGTACCTAGGTTTCGTTGTGAGAAACGGCCATTGTGCGAGCTTTGTCCTCCGGCACCTTATTTAAAGCGAAGAATGTCGAAGAGGGTCGCCGGGCAAAGGGTCAATGGACAGACATGTTACAGGGAATGTCGCACTACCTAACCCTGATAAGAGTAGTCCCCATTGATAGCGTTGTGAGATAAGCCCCCCAGCTCCCACGTTTGGCGGCTGACTGGCGGCTGACTGGCGGCTGCTCGTGTGCTGGTGTCGTCATTGCCAGTGGTGGGCTGCCAGGACTTTCCAACTCGGTGTTGCATCTTGGGATCTCCAAGTGCACGCAACCCTAGCTCTTTGCCATAGAAGCTACATTCGCCATCATGGAGCCCGATCAACTGAAAGAGAAGCTGCACGTCGATAAGGAGAAGCTCAAGCAGCAATTCGATGTCTCCCATTTCGGCCTCAATTCCGTCTTGAGGGGTGCCCAGTTGACCTTTGTTGGAGGTGAGCCCATGAAACCGTCCATCACCACATGCTTGGTCGTCGCCGGTTGCTGACACGCTTCGCGCAACAGCCCACCGAGCGCTTCAGAATCCCGGTATATTTACCTCCGATCACTATAAACAGGCTGCTGCTGCTGTCGTCGCAGGCCTGGCCATCCGCCTCATTGTTTCCATTCCCGTAGGGCTGCTCCGTCGTGTCCGAGGAAGTCTTCTGTAAAAGCTGACGACAAGCCTCCCAGATTATCGGTGTTCGGGTTCTGCTATGGTTTCTTTCTTTCGTAATGAACCTTGAACAGGTGACCTGGGACAATCAGATCGTGGAAGGGCTGGACTTTCTCGAGGAATACGTCCTCCAAGTACCGTTCTTCCTCATGACCCTCATGCGCTACGTCACGCCAACACTCGATAACCTGTAGGTTGAAGTGCGACTTCCTAGTGATTCGATGCTAACTGGACAGGTTCATGGATTCGCTCCAATGGGTCGATCTGACGTACGTTCAGAAACACAAGCACGAGAACCCCGACAATCTACGCGACATGTATTACCCGAACCTCAAAGGCTACAAGGTTAAAGACGGGAGCACCCATAGTACGAGCACGGCCGAAGCGCTATCGATGTTCTTCATGCGATTCGCTCGCAAAGGCGGCATCTCTCTAGCCATCTTCGCCTTATCATATGTGCCTTATGTTGGTCGCTTTGTTCTGCCAGCCGCCAGTTTCTACACGTTCAACAAGGCAGTCGGCATGGGACCAGCATCCATCATCTTCGGGACCGGCATTTTCCTACCGAGACGCTATCTCGTGATTTTCCTGCAGAGCTACTTCTCGTCGCGAACCCTGATGCGCGAGCTGCTTGAGCCGTACTTCTCACGAGTGCACTTCACCAAGGATCAGAAGCGCAAGTGGTTCCACGACCGCGAGGGCTTGCTCTTCGGTTTTGCGTTGGGATTTTATACGCTCATCAGGATACCTCTTGTCGGAGTTCTCGTCTACGGCATTGCCGAGGCCTCGGCGGCCTACCTCGTCACCAAGGTCACCGACCCTCCCCCGCCGTACAGCGAGTCTGCTGGCTTTGCAGCCAGTCAGCAGACTTGGACGAATAAGCACGAATTCCTGAGCTTGGAGTTGTCCAACCTGGATTCCATGCACCATCGGTCCAAGCAAAATAGTGGGCAGGCCCAGAGTGACATACCGATCCCATCTGTAGAGAAAGCCAGCCACTGAGTGCCCCTCTCTTTCATCGGAGAAGATCCGACCGCCGAGTCCGAAGCTGGAGTAGTATTATAGGGGGGTGTTGCAAAGTTCATCTTGGAGTACTGTACATACAGACGGCTTCCAGCGGATTTCGAGAGAAGCACGGAAGGTCGGCTTCTTCATAACCACCATGACCAGAAGCGAACATCAGGTGGCGCTTCTGCTGATTCCAATTACGTTTCGCGGCCGATAGGGAGAGCGTTCGCTCATGCAGAGTGAAGTCACCGCGACGAATCACCGACAGGGGTTGGGGTGTCGCCGGCGGCGAGATCGTGCGGGGTGAATGGGAGCTTCTGATAAGCTCCCATGCTATGCCCACTACAGCTCAGGAGCTCTAGGACAGCTCCGCGCAACCCCCGAAAATCCGTAGACCTAGTGTACATTGGCTCACTGGCCTTAATCGATGCGCGCACGATGTGATGGGAGTCCATAGCTTGCCAAGGGCGGGGTAATCATAGACGCCTACTTATACCAGGGAAAGCCAGCGTGATGATTTCATGTATGACCTCTCGAGCTTCATCCGGACAGTAATTTACATCGAAGTATATTGTACACAAGACTCAACACATTATCGCCATTTAGTCGTTAGCTTTTGACTTGGGAATACCATGGGCAAGACGGGCATTCGGACTGTGAACAAGGTAAGCTTTGACACGCCTGCTGCCGAACAGCCTGCCCTCCATGTAAGTCATCTGCTGCCCATTTCACCGGCTACACATTAACTTCTGGCTCAGAACAGATGGCATCCCGACAGTGCGTATACCCCAGCACCTATGCTTGGGTAGTTTCGAGGTTGACTAACGATCCAGTTCCCTCTGCCGGCGCCATCAAGGACGGCGAGACGGTCAAGATTGAATGCGTGGACTGGTATGTGCACTAGGTCACTCAACCGTTACATACCTACGCTGACTTTCTCAGGACAGGCGGCCAGATTGGCAACAACGATTCCGCCGACGATGTTCTCAACGTCGACTTGACGAAGGTTCATTACCTCTCAGGTCCCTTTGACGTTGAAGGTGCCAAGCCAGGCGATCTTCTCCTTGTAGAGATTATGGATGTCCAACCCTTCCAAGATCAGCCATGGGGGTTTACTGGCGTCTTTGATCGAAACAACGGCGGCGGTTTCCTCGATGAGATCTATCCATCCGCGTGGGTCCTCGCCTGGTCTGCTGACTCGGAGCGGGTTCACTAACACAGAGCAGCGCAAAAGCCATCTGGGACTTTGAAGGCATATACTGCACGTCTCGTCATATTCCCGGCGTCAAGTTTGCGGGCCTCATCCATCCAGGAATCCTAGGCTGCGCCCCTTCGGCGGAGGTGCTGTCGATGTGGAACAAGCGCGAGGGTGAGCTCATCGCGGCCAACAAGCTCGAGCGCAAAGTCGCATTGCCACCGGAGCCGCAGAGTGCGCACGCTGGAAGTGCGGACGAGGCGACGAGCAAGAAGGTCGGCGAAGAGGGAGCGAGGACGGTGCCGGGGCGGCCTGAGCATGGAGGTAACTGCGAGTATGTCTTTCCGTTCCTGCACAGGTAGAAGCGAACTGACAGACCGCAGTATCAAAAACCTCAGTCGAGGAAGCAAGGTGTACCTCCCCGTTCACGTTGACGGAGCAAAGTTCAGCGTGGGGGACCTCCACTTTTCGCGTATGTTGAGTGTCGCTCCCCTTATCTCTTTCGATACGCCCATCTGACGGTGTGGTTTAGAGGGTGACGGAGAAATCTCCTTCTGTGGTGCCATTGAGATGGCTGGCGTCATCACGATCAACTTCAAGGTCATCCGCGACGGCATGGCGACACTGGGCCTCAAGTCGCCCATTTACATCCCTGGACCTGTCGAGCCGCAGTTCGGCCCAGGACGACACATTTACTTCGAGGGCTTCTCCGTCGACGAGCATGGGAAGCAGCACTACATGGACGTCACCGTCGCCTACCGGCAGACGAGCCTGCGTTCGTGTCTTCGCCTCCTGCCAATGATGAACAAAGAATGCTGACCAGGATAGGTTGCATCGAGTACCTTCGCCGGTTCGGTTACAGTGATTACCAAGCGTACCTTCTCATGTCGTGCGCGCCCATCCAGGGACACGTCGCTGGCATTGTCGACATTCCAAACGCCTGCACGACGATCGGGCTGCCGATGGACATATTCGAGTTCGACATCTCGCCGGCTCTCGGGGCCGTGGAGAAGAGAGACCTCGGGCAGTGCGCTTTCTCCGGCGGCGAGACCCAGGGCAAGGTTGAGGCGGGCGGCAAGAATAGCGAGCACAGTTTTGGTGGTGGTCTGACTTATAAGCAGTAAGGGCGTGCGTTCTATGTACGGTCTCGGGCCGCGAATCAAATTCTAGGCGGAAATTGCATGATACAGATGAGTGTAAATTTACTCTTACCTACCATGTAAAGCAGCGCGTTTCCCAGGCTTTGTGTTTTCGTGTCTACCAAATGGCGAGAGCGAGAATGCGGGTGATGATTTGAAAAAATCAAAGCCACATGGATGGAGGCGGCAGAAATCACGCACCGAATGAATTTGAGGTGAAGCAAGCCAGAAGCAATCTGGGACCGCTTAATTCAAGATGTGTCTTTGCATTGAAGACACGGTATCAAGAATGGCAGACTCGGGAGCACAGTCACAACTCGCAGGTATCATTTATAATTGTATATAATCGCAGTTCTGACAACGACGACAGCGGCCGCTGTTGCACACAGAGTACAGAAAGCTCAAAGATACAATCAGATCGTTTTCGCTTCAGACAGACGTGCGGAATCTAAACTTGTGTATCACGCCATGGATCAACCCTGCACCGCACAAGCTCAATCATCGGGAATGACGGCGAGCGAGGCATGACCCGTGTCGCTCGTGTGTTTCTTCGCCGACGCCTCACCACTACCTAGCCATCCGCATCCGGCCGTTTGACATGTCAGAAGAGCATTGTCTTTGATCTCGGAAAGTGCCACGTGGCCCGTACGTTCAGCGTGCTCTCTCCCGGCGCGTTCGCCGCTGCCAATCCACTGGCAGCCGGGGACGTCGCAGGTGAGTAGGATTTCCGCGGGATCGGTGTAGTAATGCATCGCGTGCAGCTGCGCCACGAGCTGCTGCGTCTTCTCGAGGACAGCAGCGTCGTCTGTGGGCCATACCGTACGATCGAGCTCCGGAGGAAGCGTAGACTCATGGTATGGAGGCTCTGAAGGGCTGAATGCGACGCGGTCGTAGTGAATGCCTGAGTAGACGAGGAGGCAGCGGGTGTCCTTGTTTTCGCCGAAGCGCAACAAGGTCTGCCCTTTGACGTCAAACGTACAAATCTCAACGTCGAACAGCTCGGAGAAGATCCCTAGCTCAATGGCGCCACCCCAGCGGTCACGACCCTGAATGGCACGCGCGTAGGCGGAGGGGGGCGTTGCGAGGATCGCCTCCGAGTACGTGTCCGGGTGAGAGAGGATGTGATCCGCGACCATCTTGCGAAGCTCGGGGGCGGGGATCTGTCGGGGCAGGGCACCCCCAAAAGCTGTGAATAGACAGCTATTGTCGTCAGGCATGACCCGGAGGACTGGTGTGAGCAGTGTCAGTACAACCGTGAGGATTGAGTGCAGCAGCAACGGCGGGGATCGAGGTTAACCATACGTAGGGTGCCCTCCCTCTCAGCCCATGCTACACTGACACTCTCAGGGCCCTGTGTCGGTGGTTGCGAGACGTCTGAGACAGGAATGACGGGGCGTGAGGACGATGGCGCCACGATCGCTGCTGGTGCTGCTGGTGGCTGGGTCGCTTCGGTGGGAACAATCGTAAAAGTTTCGCCGTTAAGACCGAGTTCTTTGGCAGCCTTGTCCATTTGGTCACTTTCGAGGGTCTTCAGGGGCCAACCGTATTTGAGAGTGAACTCGGGGATACCTGTCTTGGCCCTAACCTCCTTGTACAGCTGGCTGATGGTTGTGTCATCACTGAGGGAGAGGACGCCAGTGCCACCGGGGCCTTTGTATCTGGCTCTCATGGCTGGTTTGGCTTGTAGTTGTAATGACAATCGGTGGAGTGAGCGAGTGAGCGAGTGAGCGGCAGTTATTCGTAGTACCGCGTTCTTTGAGTTGTATTGTGGCAGTGGTAAAGGGTCGCAGGGTGGCGGTGGATCGGAAGGGGGGTACTGGAAGCAATGATGTGAGCTGATGGTCGAAGCTTCTAGTGTCAGTTGGTGTTTTTGATTACTGGTTGGAGCTCCCTTGTTCAGCGGTCACTACTTGGAAACGAATATCTTTTTTTAGCCCACGATGAGTGAGCTCCATGGTCGTTTTATCTGTTATTCGAGGGCTCTAAGGTTGCCGTCACTGCCACTGATAGTCTGCTTGGCAGTGGATCGGGCATTTTCACCACTATAGCCGGAGCTTTGGAGTGGGATGCCGCCAACAGCCCCTCAGTTTTGGAGCTCGAAGCTTGGATGCTGGTGCATCTGCTGAACATCAATCAAGTGGACCCCTGAGTTGCTAGTCGCCGCCGATCAAATCCGGGGTTCCATGATCCTTGGCCATCGTCCTCAAGCTCGCTCACGCTGCAACCTGGGCCGAAGGGGTGCTGTTGGCTGGACGAGTTCTTGTTGGCACGTGTGTGCTGCCTTGCTAAGGTATTTCGCTGTACAAAGTAAATTGCTTTCAGCATGTTCAGCAAGCAGACTCAATGGGAACGGAGGGCCGTTTTCTCGTTGAAGCATCTGATTGCCAAGAGATAGCCATGGAGGGCGTATCGTATTGTGGAGGCTCGCTGAAGGCAGAGGCTTGGCTTGTCGCACAACGGGGTGAGAAGAGGAGACTCTCACCACAGGCATCGATTGTAAGACTCCCAAGACTGTGAAATAGAATAAGCATCAACAACTCGAGTGCAACGACTGTCGTCATTCCATGATCAAGGTGTTCTTGATCTCAAGGGAAAACAACTGATTCCGAACACCCTCGCTGTGGCTGCTCCAGGTACCTGTGGCTTTTCAGTATTGTGGTACTGTGGCGTCGGCGCGAAAGTGGCTGGCCCCAGTCGCATCCTCGTCGCGCTTGCTCTCTGTCACGGTCCTGCCCACCTTCCACCAGAACCCCAACCCTCGATTCTCGCACCGTTGCGACATCGTCCATAGCGCCGCCTCCCCCTACGTCGCGACCACGATATAGCTCACGTATATCTGCTGGTGAGCTTTCGTTCGTTTCAACTGCCTCGGTGGCAACATCCTTTTCGCCTCCCGACGCCATGGCGGGCACGCGCAGCAACGCAACCGACGTGCGCGATTCCATCGAGGCCAAGCTTGACAAGGACAAGGACAAGACCAACGGCCACGACATGGACCTCGACACCCCTGACAATACTGCAGACGACGTCGAGATGAAGGATCAGCACGACGAAGAAGACGCCGACGGGGAAGCTGACGCTGAGGCCGATGCCGACGCCGACGCCGACGCCGACGCCGACGCCGAGGGCGAAGACGATACTTCCCAGCAAGATGTTGACG